CCCCCCTCCTCCCCTCCTCCCCTCCTCTCTCTTATACTTCGCCGAAGGAAGTTTCAAGCAGATGAGAAGTTTAGGGGTAAATCAATGTTCATGTCGTTATAAAGTTTGGGCGGAGCGAGGGCGAGGTGGTGCTGCGGCGCTGAGCGGTATGGTGGCTATGGCGACAACGTAGCGGCGGGGCGGGGCGCGGTTGGGTGAGGTGGGGAGGGGTTCGGGCTGGGCGCGGTATGGCGACGCGCGGGTATCGAATCTGGAGATGACTTCACTCCGACTATTTCATCGTCGTGACCTGCTCGGGTCCCCGTCATCTACAGCGCCCGCACCGGGCAAAGAGCTGCGCATTATAGGTTTTAGTTTCAATTCTATCTCTGTCTCTCTCTTTCTCACTATCCCCGTTTTTATTTATGTTTTATTTTTCGTTGAGAAAAAGGAAAAAATACAGACTTTCCCAATACCGCGTCCCCAACAGCGGCGACACTGCGTGTGGCGACTAACACGGGTTGACATTTCTCGAGCGAAACCCAATGAGAGGCGGCATGTGTGGAGGGAGGACCTCTTTCTGTCTCACTCTGTCTCCGTCTCTCTCGCTCTTGCTAACACTCTCACCCTTCCGTTCACAAACGGGAGAGGGAGAGGGGAAGGTGGGGACGGGTGATGCACGGTTCGCGAAATGTCAGTGACTCAATTTCTGGGAACCTCCCGCAAAAGGCGAGAGTGGGGGTGAAGCGGGGTGAAGGGAAGGGGTGTGTTATATGTACAACGGCGGGCAGTGTAGCGGGCAGCTCCCTCCCCACCCTGTAATTCGCTCAGCAGCAACCCTCTGGCCGTCTCTTGTCTCGCTCTCTGTCTCTCACTCGCACCCCCCACGCCAACCCCTCTCATAACACCGAGACCATCCCTGTGGGCGCGCCTGCCCGCACCAAGGTCAAGGTCATCGCGTGAAACAGAGAGAGACAGAGAGGCAGGGTATGGGGCGGGGCTCTTCGTCTCTTCGTGCGTGCCGGTTTAGCTCAGTTAGCTCAGGCCAGGCCGCTGCTTGAAGGGTTCGCGGAACCCTCCTCGCCGCATGCAGTTAGTGCTGGCTGAATTCATTTCGCCAGAAATAAGCGGCGCAAAGTGGAGCTGTGCGGCGGGGCGAGGCGGGGCGGGGCGGGGTGGGGCGCGGCGTGCGCTGAGCACGTGGCGTGGAGGGGAGTGGCGGTCCCGACTGCAGAAATGCAAGGCGTGCAATTACCCGCACGTCAAACGGTAACACGTTTACCCTTTTTTTTTTGCAACCCGCCGCCGTGTTGCACTATGCGCCCTACTCTCTCGCTGCAGCTTCCATCTATGCCGATTGTCTTGGTGATTGCTAATCTCCGCCTGTGCTCTGTCTGCTTGCAGGTGTGTATAGCGGCCTGGACCCGGCCGGCCCGTCTGTTTCGCGGCCCCAGATAAGAGTGATGTGATAAGTCCGTAACCGTTATCCGTCTATCTGTGCGAAACCGTAATGTTGGACAACCTGCGGCGGTACCTATATCGTGCTGTACTTGCTGCTCTGTCTGCCAATCAGTCGCCACTCACCACCACAGTTTCCCGACCCCCCGTGCCCTTACACGAACAAATGAAAATAGCTGTGTTGCAATCATTCTTAGCTAGAAAGGCATAGTTGGGCATATGCATGCAACCCAAAAGTAAGCAAATTAGTGCATTTTTTAAAAATGTATTTGCTTGTTTTGTTTATTTTTAATTTATTTTTTTGTTGC